CTTTGTCATGCCTGGAGAGGCGGCCGAGTGCGTTTTTTTTTTGGTCTTTTTTTTTTTGTTGTTGTTCTAACATAATCTGCAATTTCTTGTGTCTTAGGGTTGAGATACGCCTGAATCAGAAGATGTTCATCGAACCCCAACAACGATTTACGATTCGTCAAGGAACGACCACTACGGGAACAGGAGTCTTTACCGAGCTGCTTCCACCCCAGACCGAAGAGGAGAAGGCAGCGATTACTTTTTTGAAAATTATTTTTCCAGATATCCTTTCCATGCTCCAACTATCTGCCCTTTAGAACCCCAAGAACAAGAAGAAGTTAATGAAGGCAGAGATGGAACGACTCGGATTCAATCCTTACGGAGAACTGGCTGAGAAACGATTGAAACCCGACTACTCGCACTCGCCTAAAGACAACCCAGCAGCCAAAGCATTTGAAGAAGCTGAAAGTAATAAGTAGTCATTTCTACCCGCTATGTTTTGCTTATGCTCATGAACACTTGTTAATACTGAACTTAATTAGATAGTATAGTAGTTAGGTTGTTGTTAGTTGTTATTTTGTTTTTATGTTCATTTATGCGCACAATCTGTTTATTCTTTTACGTTGATTTTATTGCGGAAAATGTAAAGAAATGTGTATTTTCTCTACTTCGAAGTAAATTTTTCTATGACAGTTTGGTTCAGAATCGAACAGGTAGTCAAATACCCTTTGCTGCTTAATAGGTCATGATAAAGATAAAGTTTCCTATTCCAATTGGAGATCTCGTTGTCTTTGTTTAAAAAAATTTTTGGAGGATCTATGCTCTCAAAAAACCTAGCTGTTAATCCTCTCCTTCTTTTACATTGATCTTTTCTTATTTCGAGTCGTAGTAGCGGAGGTTTTTCCTTCTAAATCAATAAAATTTACTTTTCGACTACTATAATCTGACTGCTACAATTCTCCTTTTACCTTGATGCCCTTTCGATTCAAATTGACTAGGCTATTTTTCCAAATCTAATTATAGTTTTGGATTTCAAGACCTATTCCAAGTACCGATATTGAATTGAGTTGTTCTTAACTTAATTTTTTTACTCCACTTTTTGAAACGTCCGGACCCATTCTCGGGCGTCGCTAACGCCTCAATTCACATCTAAGCGAGTGCTGATGCCTTTGCCTTCGGAGTTTCAAAAGATTAGAACAACTAAACCGGTTTCCATTCGCTGCCTTGCAAAAGTGAAAAAAATTTGAACTTTATGAGTTCTAGTTGTACTTTTCATTATTTAATACTTCATATTATGACATATAACAAATTGAAACCGGTGCTCTTTTTATGTGCGCGTTGGTTCCTGATGTAATGTGTTGCATATGATTTTGCGAAAGAACTTGGGACTACCTAACAGAGCTTCATACTTCCTCCCTTCAAGCATTTTTGATTTAAAGTCCAACTGCTAAATTTCAGAGGGATTGTTTTGAGGATGCGGCTACGCTCTATCTCATCAGTTTCTACAAAATAAATTGAAAACTCACAAAATTACTGATGTAAAAATTTGCCATTCGTCGTTTCCACTGGTGACAAGATATAGAAATTGCACTGGCACATTTGGTGCATTTTTGGGGTGCTTTAAAGGCCCAAATTTCTTAAGCGCATAACATGAAGAATTTGCAAGCGGCGCTTGCGACGTATTTTTTGACATGACACTATTTTAATCGAATTATGATGAACTAGTGTGCTAAGCTCCCAGAAAATTTAACTTTCAAAACTGCAAGAGTGGCCCTTTTTCATGTCCATTCTCCTCATTCCTCTTTCCAATGTTGATTTTCACGACGTTCATACGTTTATGCAGCAAAGCATAAAGAACACTGTACACAAGTGCAATGTTTCTGATTCGTACAAAAAGGTTAAACTAAAAAAAAGATTTAGCCTTAAGAAAATTTGTAGACACGCCCGGAAACTTCTTTTGCAGACCGAATAATTTTAGACAGATGTAGAATCCATGTAGCGGAATTGCAAGAAGCTGCTTTAGGTCATGTATGTTTAAATGATGAACCTAGAGCAGTTTCTTGCAATTCTGCTACAAATTTTTAGAAAATTCCGGGCCCCTATCACCCAAGAGGGCTTTATTGAAGAAGGAGCAGCTCGTAGATAATGCCATCATCCTATCAGAAAATTGCTTCGTTCCTAACCCTTTGGTGGAAAGTGCGGGGAAACGTCCTTCGATCTCCTTTTTTTAAAAGAATATTTGGATTGTGTTAAGTGATAGGAACGTGTAGTACTTTATATAAGGAGACAAGAAATCGATAATATTTGTGTAAAAGTAATTTTGATTAGGAGACAAGAGCAGATAAGAGCGCGAGGAAACGGTAGTTTAAATAATTGTCCGTTTCACGGTAGCTAGACTGTAGGCGTTGCGTCTTATTGACTGAAAGTCGGACTCGGTTCAGCTGGTTATCGATTTTTTGGAGCGTCCACGTTCGGAATGCGGTACGGTTCATATGAATCCAACTGAGTTAAGTAAAGGTAGCCTGTATCGTATTAATATTACAAAATTCGTAAATCAACAAATTTCTGCAGAAGGACCGTACTTTTGCCCAAGCTATTAAATCCTACCAAAAGAACTTGATTACAATCTCCATTTTTGAATAGCCTTTATCTATAATGCCTTATTGTCTCCTAAAAGTCTAATTTTACAAATATGTCGAAGAAACCGAAGAACCACCATCTCGTGGGCCCTTGCCAAAATGGCTTCTTGAGCGGGTCTCACCACGAAACCGCCTCGATCGCTGCCTCCGGCACGTGCGAATCCGCTCGCGCGCCCTGTTCTGTCAATACTCGTCGTCGAGGCTGGAGTCGAACAGCTGTTTCAGTTTCGGTAACATCGTCTGCTGACAGTGCATTTCATCTTCATCTTTTTAGTGAGACATTTAGGCGCTTTGAGCTTCCCAGGATCATCTTTGTTGCTTGGAAATCAAGGTATTGAAAGACTAATTTATATTTTGCCTTTGTTTGCAAGATACGGCTTTACATGAGCTGTTATTATAATTTTAAATGCGTTCATATTAGCTTCTTGGCATTACACATGCTTCTTTTGCTCTCATAGCTCCTATTACCTAAGATTTTTCACTTGGTTTGCTTTCTGCCAAACTGTTCGTTTTAAAAATTATTTTGAAAATGATTTTGCCCAGCAGTAGTGCTTTCGAGCTTCGAATTCAACTGCATATCAGTTTAATCGCATATAAATATGATTTACATTCATCAAAGAACCCTGGGCTCACATTGGTGGCGCTTTCAATCATATCTGTATTCGTATGACATTGACTGACTCTATTTTTGCAATTA